GAACGAATTGAATCTTATTTGAGGCACACATTAGAGGTTTATGAGAATTCGTTAAATAAGAAGAAACGTAAAACTATGGCCCAGGAAAAATTATTGCGTCCTCGAAGCTGGCCAGAATGTAATGTATTTCCAGCAACACCAGCTATATATGTTACAGATAATGGGACCCAAACTATTAATATCACTTGTGATCATGAAGAAGAGAATAATCGCCGGGTTATGAATGAGCTTAAAGTATTTCGCCAACACCTGCTTGATTATAATAAAAGAACTTTCGAAAAATTCATGCAAGACATAGAAAGGGAATATAGAGAGCGGATTAGTACGAATAAGAAATTGCGATGTGAGAATGAGGATCTGAAGATGCAGTTGCAGGAGGCGGAAAAAAAGCTGGCATCTATGAAGTCGAATTCTTCTCATTAGTTGGGAATACTTTTTTCCTTGTACTTCTGCAAAGTAGGATCCTGGCCAAGATCATGCGCTTTTTGAGGATCTATATAAATAACCAGTTCTTCCATCTTTCTATATAACCACGAAAAAAGAATGGCATTTCGGAGGCCTCATCCAAGGCAGAAAAGAACGTGTGAAGAATATAAAGCTGAGCTGGAGGAAGAGAATTATCATCTTTGTAGTGAATTGCAAACAGAAGTTGATACTAACCGTCAGAATGAAAGACGAATTAATCAACTGGAGCAAGATTATTCCCGGTGTGAGCAAGAAATCCAAAATCTCAATAGGGAGATAGAGCGCCTTGAAAATGCTTCGGAAGAAGAGATAGTGGAGTTGAAATCTGAAGTCTCCAGCCTAAAAAGTCAGCTATATCAAGCTAAGAAGGATGTATGAGATAAGGAAAAATATATCTCTGATTTGGAAAAGCGGTTGGTAGAATCTGAAGTGCAAGTTGATAGACTACGATGCCGGATCAAGACTATCTCATCACGAAAGAATTCACCAGAACGAGGGAATTCTCCAGACCTGTATAATCCTAATACTAATTTGGAAATGGCCACAATTGCTGAGTTGGTAGATGCTATAGACGGCTTTGTGAATAATACTGCAACATCTAGGGCTATCCTGATAAATCAAATAAAAGGGGCAACAAGGCAGATTCGTATAAAAAGTAATAATCTGCATCGGGATTTAAGAGAAGTAAGGCGAGCTCGTGATCAATTACAGCAAGATTTAGTCCGTGAGCAGAGAAGGCGATATGATGCAGAGGCTGAACGTGATAATGAGATTATACGAAGGCAAAATGCTGAAGGGGTGGAACAACTGGTTATTGCTGACCTTTATCAATTGCAGACCAATGCTCGAAATCAAGTAAATAGAATGTTAGACAATATAACAGGAAAGCGAATCCGTATTGGTATACTGCTACAGGAAAAATTTGCCTTACAGTTATTATATCAGCGAAATGCACACCACCTACAGAGAAGTAGAGGAGATATAGGTCTGTTAGAATATAATCGTGATAGGCTCTATAAGCGATATGAGAAATAGAAAAATAAGACCCAAGTGGAGTGCCAGAATAATTTAAATTTGCAGGCACAAATTTTGGCGCTACAGAATAACCCACCAAATCTAATAAACATGGCTTTACCTGCAGGGTTTGTAATGCCTGAATTAAGCAGTTTTGAACAGGATCATGAAAAGTATAGAGATGATTTTATAGCGTATATCCATTTAGCAGGTCTAAATGATGAAGCAAGAATTCGCAATATACTGGACCGATCAGTAAAGGGAGAAGTGCGAGAATGGTATCGTAGAGAGTTTGATAACAAAAACTGGGAATTACAGAATGTGTTAGATAATTCTGCCATAGGTGCTAATATTGGGGCTATTCGTGGTGCTAATGCAGGGGCTATAACAGGGGCGGCCAATTCTTTTCCAAATGTTCCAGCAGGTCTTGCAGGTGCAGACATTATTCCAGCTCGAGGACTTGATGAAAATTGGATAATAGCTGGAGGACGACCAACTAATGCAGTACCAGTTGCAGTAAATGCTGGAGGTGGCGTTCCAGTCATTCTTGCAGGAATCCGGTCTGGGCAAAGGTTAGATCATATTAAAAACCATTTTCCATCTGCCGATAGATATTTGAGAATGCTTGAAATTGGAACATTAAAACAAGAAACACATGAAAGTGTAACATCTTTCTGGGCAAAAATTCAAAAGTATGGAGATCAATTGGGTTATACTCCTGCGCAAAAGAAAACATATTTTATATCTGGAGTAAGACATGATATATTGAATGACATCATTACGATTGGTCGTCACAAACCTATTAATGATATTCTTGATAATTTGGAAGAAATGGAATTACGTCGTGGGATATTAGGGCCACCACCATCATATCTTAGTAATACGCCAACCCCTTCTGCTATTTCCAATAACGTACCTCAACAGCAAGGAATTTCCTTGGCAGATATACAAAAAATATTTCAAGATGCACAGGTACAGCAAAAAACTGAAAACCAGGCATTAATAAAGAAAATTACAGAATTAGAATCACAAATGGCTCAGCAAGTGCAAGTATCTGCTCCACAAACAGTTGAACCAATTAGACAGCCGAAAGCTCCACCGTCTTCATTGAAAACAGAGGAAGGTATGAAAAATTATTATGTAGCCGAATACTTAAAAGAAGTAGGTCTACTTAATAAGGAAGATTTAGACTCTGATTATCCTGTAAAACCTTTTCAAAGATCTCGTCCACAGCGAAACAATAATTCTGCTAGATTTGATAGGCTTGAAGAAGGACTTGAAGAAACTTGAAATAATGTAAATCAGTTAGCTGATCTATTTCAGAAAAAAGCATACATACGAAAATGTGGAATTTGTGGGAAAACAGGCCATAGCAAAGGTAGTTGTCCAAGACCGATAGCTCAATCTAATTTTACTCGGTCATATTGGACTCCTCTTAAACCAATAGTTCCTCCTGATTCAGATGGTGAGGAAAATGATGGGGATGGTTATGATGAGAACAATAATAGATAGACTGGATATGACCCACCGGTAAAAAAAAACAGGTAGATAAGTTGGCCAGTGATACTAATGCAATCTCATCCCTAGAATCTAGCCAACCTGAAACATACGATCAGCTAATGTTTAAGCTCTCACCACCAATACGAAAAATGTGCTTATCTCGAAAGGCTCAAAATGAAGTGGAGGATGAATCGAAAGAATCATATAAGTGGTTGTCATCTTTACAATATCTGAATGCTAATATAAATGACTTAACTATTTCCGAATCTTTTTTAGATACTGCCAGTGAGTTCGGTGGTATAAATGATCCAGCAATCAAGGCACTTGGATGGAAGGCCGATAAACCATCTAATTTTGCTATAAAGGGTAATTCCAAATATATCACCGATTCATTAGGATGGTATACAGACGTGCCAGTTACCTTAAAAGATAAAGAAGATAAGACAGTCACAGTTATTGGAAATTTTGTTCGTATTGATAATGGTGAAACAGAACCAATGCTATTTTTTGGTATGTCAAACATTCGAAAGGTTCAAGGCATTCCCGATCCAAATAAAAACCAGTTCCGCATAAAGTTACATAGAAAGGCATATATTATCCCAACTTTTAGCAAGGCTCCAGTAGTCAAGGATCCGCCTAAAGAGGAGCAGGATCAAGCATCCACTGATTCTTCTAGCCTGACTGATGAGAAGGACTTAAAAAAAAGTGCGTAAACTGTGTGAAGCTTGAAGAGCGTCTTGCAAAGGCTGAAGAGTGGCTTGGTAAGGCAATAAGCGCTATAAAAATACTTGCCGAAAAGAAGTAGGTTATTTAAATATCATCCATTTGTTTTAATACCTCTTCAAGTTCAGATCCCATTTTAGATATAATATCAGTATTGTCAGTGGTATTAGTGATGCACTGTGAAAGCATCTCTGACTCTGTCTCAGTGGAGGTTACACTTGTTTTACTTGTTTTCTTTTTTCGGCTATTTTTCTTCAGTGGTAAGACATGTGGAAAGGAAATAGCAGGAGGTGGGTCGTAGTTTACTACAGGTAAACATTCACCCACATAAGTAGTATTAGAAATATTAGCTATTGGTTGATTCCAGGCAATTCTATTAGCTTCTTCGCCTCTCCAAATCTGATATATGCGCTTCATTGATGTATTATATTTACCCATCAATTCATCTAAAACTTTCTTTCTCAGCCTTTCATTTTCACGTTGCATAATAAAATTGTAATCAGTCTGTGAAAATAAAGGCGCATTACAGTTTATGCGTTGTCTAATCATAATCACGATGGTGTATTTTTTTCAGATAAAATATTTCAAAAAATATTAAATAGGATAAATAGAAAAAATGTATTCTTTGGGATAAATAGGATAAGCGTAGTCTTTTTGATATTTAGAAAGAATGTATTATTTCAAAAACAAATTAATAGAATAAATAGGATAAATGAATTATTTCGAAAAAATATATTGGGATAATTAGGATAAATGTAATATTTTGGAATTATAGAAAGAGTATGTTATTTCAAAAATATTATTTTTTTGACTATATTTGCAGGATAAAAAACTATGCCTCGAATTTATACCCTGAATGATGTAGGTAATAGTAATGGCAGTAAACTTGGAAGCTCTCCATCCAATCGATATCTACCTAGCCATTTAGAGCTTGAAAAACAGCTAAAAAAAGATCGTGAAATGTTTATAAGATCAGGCAAACAAGTTATAAGTAAATACCATGCCTTAAATAAAAAAAATAAGTGTATGCAAAATGAACTAGATCACTCCCATGAAGAAAATGAGCGTATGCAAAATGATTTAGATTACCTACATGAAGAAAATAAGCGTATGCAAAATGATTTGAAACAAATTATCCCCCTATCTAGGGAACTAAATGGTTTGAATAATAAGCTTGTCTCCCGAATTACTTGTGAACGAAAGTCTCATGCCAATCTTAATTCCAAGCAGTTAAAAGAAATAGAATCGCTAAAATCTAAAAATAATTTACTAGAAAGCTCAGTATCTTCAACACAAAAAGCTCTATTTTTAAAGGATTCTGAAATTACCTCTCTTGAGGCTAGAATAAATGAACTGGAAGCTGAGCTGGAACAAATAGCGCAAAAAGCTTTATTAGCCGAAGGCGCCGAGGCAAAGGATTCTGATACTACCCAATCACTTGAGATTAAAGTAAAGGAATTAAAAAATGAACTGGAGCAACTTACGCAAGATTCATCATTTAAGGATGGATTAATTTTCTGTCTCAGATCTAGGGTAAGCAATCTGGAAGATGAACTAGATCAGATTGCTTCGCATCAGGTATCTCATGATTCAAAAAAAGGTAGTGTAGAAGCAGACTCAGCCTCATCATCCAACAATTATAAGCATAATGAAGTAGTAGAAGAGGTTCCCCATTTTTCTTCACGCTACTTAGAGCGTGAACCCGATGGAAAAGGAGATTATGATAGTATTTCAGCCGTACCTATTACTGCGTTAGGAGGTAATAGTAATACTTTAGCTAATGATCAGAAAATAATCCGCTTATATTCTTGATTGTTATTTTTGCCTTCGCAGTAATATTAATTATATGGTATATATACAGGCGAAATTCTCGTCCAACCAAAAAAGAAGAAATTTTTTATCCAATCTATAGAAATCAGAGTTATGGACTCCCAATCCGATATGCAGAAGAACCAAAAGACAGGACTACCCCCTATGAAACTTTACCTTATGGATATGGATGAGGCTACAAAATACGAATCATCGCGAATTCAATCATTTTGCCAATCCTTTAAAGGTTTGTCCCATCTAAATCTAATTGATAAGGAGTCATCAGATGGTCTTCGGATATCAATAACCACGAAATGTTTTTTTATCACATCATAAACTTTTTTTGCTAGAGGCTCATAATTATCATACATATCTTTAAGAATTCGTTTTATGCTATCTAGTGTTCCACATCCACGATGCAATGAAATATATGTAAAATTTCCACGTATATTCTGATGGATTTCATAAAAACGCTGAGCGATATAAATTGAGCTAATTCCTTCATGCCTGCCTGACCTAAAGAAAGGAACGATTTTTAGTTGAGTTGCCAGAGG